GTGAGCAGCCACCTCACCTCCCATCGGAGAACCCACACGGGCGAGAAGCCCTACAAGTGCGCCGTGTGTGGGAAGATGTTCAGCGACAGTGGAGCGTGCACTAAGCACCAGAGAATCCACACCGGGGAGAAGCCCTACAAGTGCATGGAGTGTGGGAAGACCTTCATTAGCAGCAATTCCCTTGCATTGCATGAAAGAATTCACACGGGAGAGAAGCCTTACAAGTGCACAGAGTGCGGGAAGAGCTTCAACCGGAGCGGGACACTCACGTCCCATCAGAGGAGGCACACGGGAGAGAAGCCCTACACCTGCGTGGAGTGCGGGAGGAGCTTCAGCGACAGCGGGACCTGGGTGAGGCATCAACGGACCCACACCGGGGAGAAACCCTACACCTGCACAGAGTGCGGGAAGGGATTCAGCCAGTACGGTGCATGCACCATCCACAAAAGGATCCACACGGGGGAGAAGCCGTATCAATGTGCAGAGTGCGGGAAGACCTTCAGCCGTCGGGGTGCATGCACTAAACATCAACGAACCCATGCGGGTTGCGGAGTGTTGGAAAAGCATCTCCCTTCTGCCCAAGAAGCCGTTTAGTGGAGAAATCACACTCCAACATATGGACGTTGGAAGCCACTTCACTGTTGACAGCTTTTAGATTGCACATTGAAGTATCTACACTGATGTTAATTGTGGGATGCTGGTACATGAAGTGATTTATAGTTTCCAAATCAAGACCTCTCTGAACCGTTGCAAGCTGGATAGCAAGCGAAACACAGCAGAGTCCTTTCACAGCAAAAACATGCTTCAACCCATCTATCAGCAGAGTCCAACTGCCAGCATCTGACCTTATGTACACACTGTTTAGTAAACTCATGGATTCAGGTTTTAATGGATTAGATGAGTCTACACTGCCATATAATCCAGTTCAAAGCAGATAATCTGGATTTTATATGGACCTAAAGGATTGAGCGGCGCTCCATGCAGTCATGCCAGTGGCCACATGACCTTGGGGGTGTCTACAGACAACGCTGGCTCTTCGGCTTAGAAATGGAGATGAGCACCACACCCCAGAGTCAGACATGGCTGGACTCAATGTCAGGGGACTACTTTTACCTTTACCTAAAGGATTGAGCCTAAGTCTCCCCAGAAGAGAGCTTGTTCTCCCAAGAAACCATTTGGAAGTGACTTTATATGGAAAGAGTTGCATTGTTTTAATCGATTTGTTCCAAATTCTTCTTAACGCTATCAGTTGTTTCATAGCCTCATGCCTGTTTTTAACTCTTATGTTTTAATCTGTACCAGTTTTTAAAAGTGGGTAAATTCAAAGACAGTGTGACGTAGTTGCTTTGAGTGTTGGACAACAACTTCGAATCTGGGTGACTTTGGTAAGCGTTGGGCTTCCTGTCGTACTAACTTACACTTTATTTCCGAAGGTCACTGTATTTCCGCAAAGCTTTGTGGCTAACACACGCAAGTGATGCTGTCACCATGTTTTTGTTTCCAAGAGAGGGAGGTTTCCTTATGGTTCTGTATATAAAGGCTGATACATCAGTTGTTCCCAGGATTATAAATTCAACGTTATTGCTGCCAAAGAGGAATCCTATCCCTCTTTTTACGCAGAGATCCTTGGCTGCTTATGACAGGCAAGGGCAGCTGAACCATTAGGCAAATTACGCATTTGCGTAGAGCGCCGCATCCCCGGGGTGCACAGGAGGAACAGAAGCAACAGCCTCCAAAGGGACAGCGACAGGTAGGGGCTCGCAATACCCTGCGCAGCCTCGCCTCTGTCCCGGGATAAGCTGTCTCCTGTGACACCTTCAGGAGGAGGAGGTAGAGGACCTTCCTTCTCTTGCACCGCAGGGCTTGCTTTCTCTTTCTTCGTCCACGAAAGGCCTGAAAGCGAATCCCTGATCCCTCCCCCTCGCTTTCTCCCTCCCTCCTTTCCTTCAGTTCCTTCTCATCGCTCAAGTTTTACCTGCAGGCTGTTTTTGTTGGCCAGCCTACAAAGACTAGCCTTTGTATTTTGTCATCTGAATGCTGCCGAAAACATAAATCAGAAAAAGGGGTCGTGGGGGAGGCTGGATGGGCATCGGTCGGGGTGCTTTGAATGTGATTTTCCTGCTTCTTGGCAGGGAGTTGGATTGGATGGCCCTCAAGGTCTCTTCCAACTCTGTGATTTACTGGGCCCTTCCACATAGGGCCACTTCACCTAATAATAATAATAATAATAATAATAATAATAATAATAGTAATCTTTATTTGCACCCCGCTGTCCGAACGGATCTCCCTCTATGCCCCACCTCGGAGTCTAAGATCTTCTGGGGAGGCCCTGCTCTCGACCCCGCCTCTATCACAAGTGAGATTGGCGGGGACGAGGAGCAGGGCCTTCTCGGTGGTGGCCCCTCACCTATGGAATTCACTCCCCGGGGAAATTAGATCAGCGACATCCCTCCTTTCTTTTAGAAAAAAACTGAAAACATAGATTTGGGACCAGGCATTCGGACAATCTGGCAGATAAAGAAAGGACTTTGACAATTGACAAGAATGGACGAAGTGGAATGAAATTATGGAACTCTGAAGGATGAACGCTGAGCATGAGATTAGTTTTATTAATTGTCTTATATATTGATTGTTTTAATTGTTTTAATTGCTGTTTTATACGTATGTGTAGGCATCGAATTGTGCCTTTTGTAAGCCGCCCTGAGTCCCCCCTCGGGGGTGAGAAGGGCGGGGTAGAAGTACTCGAAATAAATAAATAAATGCCATCTCCCCAAGGGACTCGGTGCGGCTTACGTAAGGCCAAGCCCACAATACATCAATACAAGCAATAACAACAACAATACAAAGCAACTAAAATGAATCTCAAACACAAATAGCATAAACATTGACAATAGCACAACACACATTTAAAATCTGTGGCTGGGCCGAATGTAATTAAAATTTAAAATAATGCTGGGCATGAACAAGATAGGGAGGTGGGGCGTTGGTGGGAACATACAAACAGTCCTAAATCAGTATAAGGTGCTTTAGAGGACATAGTGCTAAGGGTTCATTATTCTGGGAAGGCACACTGGAATAACCACGTTTTCAAGCTCCTCCTAAAGACTGCCAGAGATGGGGCATGCCTGATGTCCTTGGGAAGTGAGTTCCAGAGTCGAGGGGCCACCACAGAGAAGGCCCTCTCTCTCGTCCCCGCCAGTCGCGCTTGCGATGCAGGCGGGAGCGCGAGCAGGGCCTCTCCAGATGATCAAAGAGATTGTGTGGATTCGTACACAGAAATGCGGTCATGCAAGTAGGCAGGTCCCAAACTGTTCAGGGCTTTGTAGGTAAGCACCTGCACCTTGAATTGGGTCTGGAAAATGAGTGGCAGCCAATGCAGCTCCTTAAACAGGAGGGTTGACCTCTCTCTGTAAGGAGCACCAGTTAACAACCTGGCCGCCACCCGTTAGACCAGCTGGAATTCCCGAGCCGTTTTCAAGGGCAGCCCCACGTAGAGCACATTACAGTAGTCCAACCTGGAGGTGACTAAGGCATGGACCACCCTGGCCAGATTCGTCTTCCCGAGGTACGGTCGCAGTTGGTGCACGAGTCTTCGTTGTACAAAGGCCCTCCCGGCCACCGCCGACGCCTGAGCCTCAAATGTAAGTGGACCTGTGACTTCAGGGTGAGTGCAACCCCATCCAACACAGGTGGCAACCCCGTCCAACACCTAGCAACAGCCAATCCAGTAACAGAGTTCTTCTTACTGGAGGGCCATCATCCTTCAGCCCTCTCCTCCTTCAGACACTGCCAAGGATGGGGAGGGCGCATGTCTTAATGTTCCCCGTCTTTTGTTGCACCAAAAAGAATGCGAAGAACACCAGGAGAAGTGCTTTAGAGAAATGACCACTATGTAGTAACAAGGACTCAGTACCTTTCTTTCAATGGGGAGAGAAACGGGCAGCCAGCATGGCATCTCCACCCACCCCCCAGGCAAGAAGTATTACCTCCCCACTCATAACAGGCTTTATTTCAAGTGCGGAAAACAGGGAGGTCAGTGCACATGCGTGTGTTGTGAGGGCTTAGCAACTCATGCTGAATGCACGGTTGACATCCGGGCATCAGAGGCAATTGAGGATCGTGCATGTGTGCGAGGGACGGACGTTGGAAAGTAAGGGTAGTGAGGACCTGTTACTTCTATAAAATTCCCTGGCCTTCACTACTGACTGCATCAATAGGAGCCTAGTGTCTAGATCTAGGGAAGTAATGCTACCCCTCTATTCTGCTTTGGTTAGACCACACCTGGAATATTGTGTCCAATTCTGGGCACCACAATTCAAAAGAGATATTGACAAGCTGGAATGTGTCCAGAGGAGGGTGACTAAAATGATCAAGGGTCTGGAGAACAAGCCCTATGAGGAGCGGCTTAAGGAGCTGGGCATGTTTAGCCTGAAGAAGAGAAGGCTGAGAGGAGATATGATAGCCATGTATAAATATGTGAGAGGAAGCCACAGGGAGGAGGGAGCAAGCTTGTTTTCTGCTTCCTGGAGACTAGGACGCGGAACAATGGCTTCAAACTACAAGAGAGGAAATTCCATCTGAACACGAGGAAGAACTTCCTGACTGTGAGAGCCGTTCAGCAGTGGAACTCTCTGCCCCGGAGTGTGGTGGAGGCTCCTTCTTTGGAAGCTTTTAAACAGAGGCTGGATGGCCATCTGTCAGGGGTGATTTGAATGCAATATTCCTGCTTCTTGGCAGAATGGGGTTGGACTGGATGGCCCAGGAGGTCTCTTCCAACTCTTTGATTCTAGATTCTATGACTAATTATTCGAACACCTGCGCAAATAACCAGGTCTTTACTTTTTTGCGGAATACCATTAGAGATGGTGCTAATCTAATGTGTGGGAAAGGTGTTCCACAGCCGGGGAGCCACCACCGAGAAGGCCCTGTCTCTCGTCCCCGCCAGCCGTGCTTGAGAAGCTGGCGGGATCGAGAGCAGGGCTTCCCCGGAAGATCTCAAAGTCCTGGTGGGTTCGTAGGCAGAGATGCAGTCGGATAGGTAGCTTGGGCCGGAACCGTTTAGGGCTTTTGTACCTGTTGTCTCTCAGTAAAGCAGATATGCGCCAACTTGGGCTTTCCCTCCAGGTGTTTCGGATGCCAACTCCCACCACTCCTAATAGCTTCACCCCCTTTCCCTTTTCCCCCTCAGCCACTTTAGCAGAGAGGATGCTTCTCTTTGGGGTGTGAAGCTCTTGAGGAGGGGGGGGGGCGGCCAAAATACTGTTTGCTTACACTTGAAAATTACCTACGGCCAGCCCTGATGACAGGTTTCCTGATAATACCTGTTGGGATTCCTCACATTCACTCGTCTATATACATAAAAACGTAATGTTTGTGGAATTAACATAACTCAAAAACCACTGGATGAATTGACACCAAATTTGGACACAAGACACCTATCAGGCCAACGAGTGACCATCACTCATAAAAACACTGAAAAACAGACCGGGACTTAAAAAGCCAGAAAAGCAAAAATATGCTACAGCGCATGTGTAAAAACGACTCCCCTAGCAAACAAAACACACAATAACATATCCACACTCTCTTCTGGACTACAGCTCCCAGCATCCCCTAGACCAAGCCCTTTAGGAGAGGAGGATGATCCAAATGCACTGCTTCCAAGCTATTTATTTATTTATTATTATTCAAACTTATATGCCGCCACTCTCCTGGGGCTCGGAGCGGCTTACAAGAACAGGCTAAAACCTAACACAATATAAAACAATTTAAAAACAGCAATATCAAAAATCAACAGGTATGTCTTACATGCCCTGTGGAAAGCTGATAAGTCCCACAAGGCACGGACTTCAGGTGGCAGAGTATTTCAGAGTGATGGTGCCACTGCTGTAAAGGCTCTGCATCTGGTTGCTGTTAGACGCAAGGTCTTGACACTGGGAATTTCCAATAGATCTTGGTCCTCAGAACGGAGGGATCTCTGGGGTTGGTAGGGGGTGAGGCGGTCCCTCAGATACATTGGCCCCAGACCATGCAAGGCCTTAAAGGTGAGTACCATCACTTTGAAAGTGATCCGGTGCTCAATTGGTAACCAATGCAGCTGCAGTAAGATTGGTGTTATGTGGCATCTCATCGGAATTCCCGCAAGAAGCCGGGCAGCTGCGTTTTGTACCAACTTGAGCTTCCGGATCACCGACAGAGGAAGGCCAATGTAGAGGGCGTTACAGTAGTCCAGTCTTGAGATGACCGTGGCCTGGATCACCGTAGCGAGGTCGTCCCTGGACAGGGAGGGGGCCAGCTGTCCAGCCTGCCGCAGGTGAAAGAAGGCGGTTCTGCTCACGGCGGAGACCTGGGCCTCCATCGTCAGCAGAGGGTCCAAAAGGACTCCCAGACTCTTTACCAACGATGATGGGCGTAGTGCCTCTCCATCCAGGGTAGACAGGTGGACATCCCCACTGCCCGGTTGACCCAGTCTTTGCTGGATTCACCCTCAACCTGCTGGCACGCAGCCATCCAGTCACGGCCTCGAGGCACTGATGGAAACAATCGGGTACAGAGTCCGGTCGGCCTTCCATCTTCAGCACCAGCTGAGTGTCATCGGCGTACTGGTAACACTCACGCCCAAAACCTCGAACCTATAAGCTTCCTTCTCCTTGGATTTATTTGGGAGCATCCCAATCCCTGCGTATTTCCTATTCCTGGACTGCAACTCCCAGCAATCCTCCAAGTAGATTAGATAGATAGATAGATAGATAGATAGATAGATAGATAGATAGATAGATAGATGAGATAAGAGATAGAGGTAGGTAGGTAGGTAAATTGATAGATCAGGAGGACTGCTGGGAGTTGCAGTCCAAGAATAGAATAGGTAGAGAAGGGAGAAAGGGAAGGGAAAGAAAAGGGGGAAGGAAGGGAAGAGAAGAGAAGGAAAGAAAGAAAAAAGGGAAGGAAAGAGAGAAAGAAAGGAGAAGAGAAAGAGGAAGGAAAAGTTGTCCACAGCAACATGTGGCAGGTACAGCTAGTATATGTGTGTATGTATGTGTGTATGTATATGCACACACACATACACTTGTGGAATAATGTCCAGGGTGGGAGAAAGAATCCTTTTGTTTGTGAAAGGGTCTTTGAGTGAAATTTGCAAATGCTAAGCAAGGGGCTTTGAATGAAATTAACAGCAAAAGAGAAATATACCCTTTCTCTGTAGAAAAGGAGCAACACGGAAGAAAATGTTTTTAAGAAACAAGATGTGACATGTAGAGGTCATACAAAGTTCAAACTCACATAGGAAGTAGTTGTGTTGTAGTTAAGTTCAAAGGTTGTGGTTAAGCGCAGAGTCTGCTGGTACAAGAAGGTACTTTCCATCAAAAGGTCAAGGGAGAGGGGCTGGAAAGAGAGTACTTTCCATGACCTATTACTTGAGTATAAAAGTCAGCAGAAACAGAGGAGGGGCGCGGCAGTCTTTGAAAGCACAAACAGAAGTGTTTCTGTCCGTCTCATGTTGATCAGCTTGATTAAATGGTGTCTTACATGAACCAATTGGACTCTGTGGATTTCTTCGAAAAGGGACCCCGCACCCTAAACCTGTGATCCCTTACACTTGAAGCAAGTGTAAATGTTTGCAATTAGCGAGCTTGATTAGCATTTCATAGAATCCAGAATCAAAGAGTTGGAAGAGACCTCCTGGGCCATCCAGTCCAACCCCATTCTGCCAAGAAGCAGGAATATTGCATTCAAAGCACCCCTGACAGATGGCCATCCAGCCTCTGTTTAAAAGCTTCCAAAGGAGGAGCCTCCACCACACTCCGAGGCAGAGAGTTCCACTGCTGAACGGCTCTCACAGTCAGGAAGTTCTTCCTCATGTTCAGATGGAATCTCCTCTCTTGTAGTTTGAAGCCAATTTTGTAGCCTTGCAGCTGCAAAGTCAATCAGCGTCGGTGCCTCATTTCCAACAGAGCTCAGAACAAACCTCTGAGGATGCTATTAGCCACAGATGCAGGCAGAATGTCAGGAGAGAATGCTACTAGAACATGGCCATGCAGTCCAAAAAACTCACAGCAACCCAGTGATTCCAGCCATGAAATCCTTGGACAACCTATGATAGGTTGTGAAAACACACAGGAAGAAAGATATAACTCAGGTTTGTTGCTTGGCTACTGATTTTGGCATCTCAAGGGTGGAGGGAAGAGAGCCCTGTTTCCTAGAGAGGAAAGGCGGGGGGGGGAGGAAGGAAGGGGGGCACAAAGAGGAGGAGGAGGAGGAGGAGGAAGGGAGGTTGTTTTCAAAAAGCAGACATTCCCCCCTATGAAGGGGGAGAAAGGGGAGGAGGAGATGTGGGTGGGAAGGAGGGGAATGGAGGTGCTTCTCAAAGGTGCCCCATAGGAAGGAGTGTTGTGCCCCCCCCAATTAGGTCCCCAGAGGTCTTCTCCTCGGAGGAGTGTCCCTCAAAGAGATCCCACATATTCTTGATTAGAAGGAGTGTCCCTCAAAAGGATCCCATGAGCCCCTCCTTGGATAGTGTGTCCCCCAAAAGGTGTATCCCCATAAGGCTCTCATCTTAGATGAAGTGCCCCCCTCTTAGGTTCCCTAGGTGTCCTTCCATAGAGGGAATGCCCATGAAAGGGGTCCTACATCTTCTTGAATAGACCTCCCTAATGCCGTGACCCCTTGATACAGGTCCTCCTATTGTGGTGACCCCCAACCAGAATGTTATTTTCATTGCTACTTCACAACTGTATTTCTGCTACTCTTACGAATCGTCATGTAAATACCTGATGCGCAGGATGAATTTCCATTCACTGGACCAAATTTGGCACAAACACCCAATATGCCCAAGTCTGAATACTGGTGAGGTTGGGGGTGGGATTGATTTCGTCATTTGGGAGTTGTAGTTGCCAGAAGGGTTTGTTGGGCATTGTCCCTAAGTTTTGGAGTTGTAGTTCACCTACATCCAGAGAGCACTGTGGACTCAAACAATGATCGATCTGGACCAAACTCTATATTGAGTGTTTGGGCCAAGTTTGGTCCAGATCCATCATTGTTTGAGTCCACAGTGCTCTCTGGATGTAGGTGAACTACAACTCCCAAACTCAAGGTCAATGCCAAACAAACCCTTCCAGTGTTTTCTGTTGGTCATGGGAGTCCTGTGTGCCAAGTTTGGTTCAATTCCATTGTTGGTGGGGTTCAGAATGCTCTTTGATTGTAGGTGAACTATAAATCCCAGCAAACTACAACTCCAAAATGACAAAATCAATTTTTTTGAGTGAAGGACATACATTGGGTTGTTAGGTGTCTTGTGTCCAAATTTGGTGTCAATTCGTCCAGTGGTTTTTGAGTTATGTTAATCCCACAAACGAACATTACATTTTTATTTATATAGACTAGCCATCCCCTGCCAGACGTTGCTGTGGCCCAGTCTGGTGATCTGGAAAATCAAGTAATGAGAAGGTGCTGTTTTCTAATATATGTAATGTCTTTATGCTAGTGAGTAAACAGTATTGCTTGCTGTTTTTTGTCACTGTTGATGTGGAGATTGTCTGGTTTGTCTATTCTGGAACATGCAACATATAATTGTCCTTTTTTAGGAGTCCCTTTCAAATCTATGATACTATATCTCTCTGTGTGTGAATCATATCTATATCTATGGCTGGATGGCTCTTTGTCAGGAGGGCTTTGATTACGTTTTCTTGCCCTGGTGAAGGGAGTTGGACTGGATGGCCTTCAGTATGGGGGTTCTGTGTGGGAAGTTTGCCCCAATTCTGTTGTTGGTGGGGTTCAGAATGCTCTTTGATTGTAGGTGAACTATAAATCCCAGTAACTACAACTCCCAAATGTCAAGGTTCTATTTCCCCCAAACTCCATCTGTGTTCATATTTGGGCATATGGAATATTTGTGCCAAAAGTTTGGTCCAGATCCATCATTGTTTGACTCCACAGTGCTCTCTGGATGTAGGTGAACGACAACTCCCAAACTCAAGGTCAATGCCCACCAAACCCTTCAGTATTTTCTGTTGGTCATGGGAGTTCTGTGTGCAAGTTCGGTTCCATTCCATCGTTGGTGGAGTTCAGAATGATCTTTGATTGTAGGCCATCCAGTCCAACTGCCTTCACCAGGGCAAGAAAACGTATTCAAAGCCCTCCTGACAAAGAGACATCCAGCCATAGATATAGATGGAGAGATATTATTCACATACACACAGATATAGTATCATAGATTTGAAAGGGACCCCTAAAGATGGACATTTATATGTTGTTTGTTCCAGAGTAAGCAAACCAGACAATTTCCACATCAACACTAACAAAGAAACAGCAAGAAATACTGTTTTCCCACAAGCATCAAGAAATTACATATATTAGAAACCAATACTTTCTCATTACTTTGTTTTGCATATCATCAAACTGGGCCACAGCAACGCCTGGCAGGGGATGGCTAGTAATGATGATGATGATGATGTAACGTCGCAACCAGTTGAAGGGATGTTACCAATTTGTCAGGGTCTCCTACAACTTGTAATGAATCTACAAAATGATAACACAGCCACTAGCCTGTAGTATGATGTTTATCTTCCTTTGATGTGTAGCATGGCTTGACTCGAAAGTATACGAAACAGAGACTTGGATTTAAGAGAAACTGTAATAAGTTTATTGAAGTATAGAAGCTTAATGGTTTCAATGTTTCTTAACTCCTAGAGGTACATTCCTTTAGTGGTTACATTTATAATCTTCCATAAAACAACTCTTAGGAGGACTGTTCTTTCCACTAGACAAGTTTTAAACTTATTTCCTTCAAAATGTATTTCTTTCCTTAACAGATCAGGTACTAGCCTATTCTTTCCCTCTGTTATCTCTATTACAGTGAAGATTCTTACTGGGGTTCTTTTCCCCTTTTTGCTCAAACCCTATCTAGGGTTTGCTCAAACCCTATCTAAAGCTATTCACACTTCACCACTAATAATAATAATGATAATAATAATAGTAATAATAATAATAATTGTGTATACTCAATTTCAGCATCATAAATAAAGAGGAAAAATAGGAGACTTGAATAAAAAGGTAACTAAGGTTTATCTCTTCTCTTCTTTTTCAGGAAAAGGAGAAATTGATAGGAGACAAGCAACTTAATTGTATCTTGTCTGTGGGAATGTATTAAAAGTCCTTCTAAATGTAGACATCACCATCAACATGGAGGAGGAACGGTGTGGGAAGCGCTTCATTGACCCTGGAGCATGGACCGAACATCAAACAACCCATCCAACAGAGAACCTATGTAAACAGATGGAAGGTGGGAAGATGTTTGGCAATGGTGCCGTACATGTGGCAACCCATCAAAGGACCCCTATGGTGGAAAAGCCATATAAATGCATGGAGTGTGGGAAGGGCTTCGGCAGTACTAGCGCTCTCATTCTGCACCAAAGGACCCACACAGGAGAGAAGCCGTACAAATGCCTGGATTGTGGGCGGTGCTTTAGTGAAGGCAGCAAGCTGACCATCCATGGGCGCATCCACACTGGGGAGAAGCCCTACAAGTGCATGGAGTGCGGGAAGAGCTTCATCGTGAGCAGCGCCCTGAGTTTGCACGAAAGGACCCACACTGGGGAGAAGCCATATCAATGTACGGAGTGCGGGAAAAGGTTCCGTGTGAGTAGTGATCTTACTTCTCATAGAAGAACCCATACAGGCGAGAAACCCTACAAGTGCTCCGTATGCGGGAAGATGTTCAGCGATAGTGGAGCGTGCACTAAGCACCAGAGAATCCACACTGGGGAGAAGCCCTACAAGTGCATGGAGTGTGGGAAGACCTTCATTTGTAGCAGTTCTCTTGCATTACATGAAAGGACCCACACCGGGGAGAAGCCCTACAAGTGCACGGAGTGTGGGAAGAGTTTCAACCGGAGTGGGACTCTCACGTCCCATCAGAGAAGGCACACGGGGGAGAAGCCCTACACCTGTGTAGAGTGTGGGAGGAGCTTCAGTGACAGCGGGACCTGCGTGAGGCATCGAAGGACCCACACCGGGGAGAAGCCCTACAAATGCATGTCCTGTGGGAAGGGATTCAGCCAGTGTGGCGCATGCACCATCCATGAACGGATCCACACGGGGGAGAAACCGTATCAGTGCCCCGAATGTGGAAAGAACTTCAACAGTCAAGGCGCATGTTCCAAGCATCAGCGAACCCATGGAGATCACAGCGCCTGGGAAAAGGGTCCGTCTTTGGTCAAAGATGCCACTTAATGGAGAAACCACGTACATGTATGGAATGTGGAAGGACCTTTAAGAGTTGGGGCACATGTTCCAAGCATCAGTGAACTCATGGAGACCATGGAGTCTTGGAAGAACAACTACCTTCATTCAAAGATGCCACATTAATGAATGGAATGCGGAAGAACCATCAATAGTTGGGGCACATGTTCCAAGCATCAACGAACCCATGGAAGAACACCCACCTTTATTCAAAGAAGCTGCATTAATGAATGGAATGCAGAAGGACCTTCAATAGTTGGGGCACATGTTCCAAGCATCAACAAACCCATGGAGGCCAGGAAGTCCTGGAAGAACATCTACCTTTATTCAAAGAAACCACATTAAAGAGTGGAATGTGGTGGGACTGACAATAGTTGTGGCGCATCAACAAACCCATGGCAATTTTGATGCCTTGCAACAACTTCTACCTTCATTCAAATATGCCATGCAGTGGAAAAATACATAAATGTATGGAATGCGGAAGGACCTTTTTGTTGGGGCACATGTTCCAAGCATCAGTGAACTCATGGAGACCATGGAATCTTGGAAGAACATCTACCTTCATTCAAAGAAGCCACATTATTGAATGGAATGCAGAAGGACCTTCAATAGTTGGGGCACATGATCCAAGCATCAACGAACCCACGGAACCCATGGAAGAACATCCACCTTTATTCAAAGAAGCCACATTGATGAATGACATGCAGAAGGACCATCAATAATTGTGGTGCATCAATAAACCTATGGCAATTTTGATGCCTTGCAACAACTTCTACCTTAATTCAAATATGCCATGCCGTGGAAAAATACATAAATGTATGGAGTATGGAAGGACCTTTTTGTTGGGACACATGATCCAAGCATCAGTGAATTCATAGAGAGAGACCATGGAGTCTTGGAAGAACATCTACCTTCATTCAAGGAAGCCACATTATTGAATGGAATGCAGAAGGACCTTCAATAGTTGGGGCACATGATCCAAGCATCAATGAACCCATGGAGACCATGGAGTCCTGGAAGAACATCTACCTTTGAAGAAGCCACATTAAAAAATGGAATGCGGAAGGACCTTCAATAGTTCTGGTGCATCAACTAACCCATGGTGATTTTGATGCCTTGGAACAACCTCTACTTTCATTCAAATGTGCCATGCAATGGAAAATGTCATAAATGTATGGAATGTGGAAGGACCTTCAATAGTCGTAGTGCATGTTCGAAGCATCAGTGAAACCATGGAGACCATGATGTCTTGAAAGAACACCTACCTTCATTCAAAGAAGCCACGTGGATGTATGGAATGTGGAAAGACCTTCAATAGTCATGGCGTTTGTTCCAGCCATCAATGAAACCATGGAGACCAAGACATCTTGAAAGAACACCTACCTTCATTCAGAGAAGCCACATGGATGTATGGAATGTGGAAGGACCTTCAATAGTCATGGCGCATGTTCCAACCGTCAATGAAACCATGGAGACCATGATGTCTTGAAAGAACACCTACCTTCATTCAAAGAAGCCACATGGATGTATGGAATGTGGAAAGACCTTCAATAGTCATGGCGTTTGTTCCAGCCATCAATGAAACCATGGAGACCAAGACATCTTGAAAGAACACCTACCTTCATTCAGAGAAGCCACATGGATGTATGGAATGTGGAAGGACCTTCAATAGTCATGGCGCATGTTCCAACCATCAATGAAATCATGGAGACCATGACGTCTTGAAAGAACACCTACCTTCATTCAGAGAAGCCACATGGGCGTATGGAATGTGGAAGGACCTTCAATAGTCATGGTGCATGTTCCAACCGTCAATGAAATCATGGAGACCATGATGTCTTGAAAGAACATCTTTCTTCATTCAGAGAAGCCACATGGATGTATGGAATGTGGAAGGACCTTCAATAGTTGTGGTGCACGTTTCAAGCATCAACAAACCCATGGAGATTTTGATGCCATGGAAGGACATCTACCTTCATTCAAAGGAGCCATGTAATGAAGAAACTACAGGAATGTATGGAAGGACTTTCCATCATTATGGTGCATGTTCCAAGTATCAACAAACTCATAGAGAAGTGGGAAGAGCGTCTACCTTCATCCAAAGAAGCCACATAATGGAGAAACCATATAAATATATGGAATGTGGGAAGACATTAGTTACTGGTAGAAGTTAGACTAGAATGACCTTCAGTAATATGATAATTGTGGATCAGCCAATATACCAGAATTCAGTGATAGCATTACCATGGATTAGCGTCTAAGTACAATGGGATCCACCACCTTTGGTGGTGTAAAACCTTATGCATGAATGGAATGTGGAAAGGCCTTCAATAAGAGCATAATTTTGGATAATGGAATCCTATAGTTGCATAATTTGGGATTTGCTTGTATAGTGGAATCTAGAGAAGACTTTCGCTGGTAAGACCTTAAAGCAGTGTTACTCAACCTGGGGGTCGGGACCCCTAGGAGGGTCACAAGGGGATTTTAGACGGGTTGCCAAAGACCATCAGAAAACATACTTCTGATGGCCTTCAGAACCCCTTTGGTAGAGAAGGCTGAAGATCTTCCCACTAGTCCTTCTCTTCCTTTTTGGAAACAGATGTGAATCCTCCCACCAAAAGCCCTCCTGCGCTGTGATTGGCCGGCCTCTCAGCCAAGGGGAGGGCTGTTTCTTAGACTCCAAGCGGGGAGGGAAGAGTAGGCATGCTTGGTGCATGACAGCGTGGTGCACATGTGAAGGCAACGGAGAACATGTGAGGCTGGAGGGAGGCTCGTGCCAGCATGTAACTTCAAGGCTTGGGAGCTCTGTGTGCCAAGCTTGGTTCTATTCCATCGTTGGTGGGGTTCAGAATGCTCTTTGATTGTAGGTGAACTATAAATCCCAGCAACTACAACTTCCAAATGTCAAAGTTCCATTCCATCGTTGGTGGAGTTCAGAATGATCTTTGATTGTAGGTGGACTACAAATCCCAGCAACTACAACTCCACCAGTGTTCACATTTGGGCATGTTGAGTATTCATGCCAAGTTTGGTGCAAATCTATCATTGTTTGAGTCCACCATACTCTCTGGATGTAGGTGAACTACAACTCCAAAACTCAAGGTCAATGGCCACAAACCTCCAGTATTTTCTGTTGGTCATGGGAGTTCGTATGCAGCGGGTTCAATTCCATCATGGTGGAGTTCAGAATGCTCTTTGATTGTAGTGAACTATAAATCCCAGCAACTACAACTCCCAAATGTCAAGGTCATTTCCCCCAAATTCCACCAGTGTTCACATTTGGGCATGTTGAGTATCCATGCCAAGTTTGGTCCAGATCTATCATTGTTTGAGTCCACCGTACTCTCTGGATGTAGGTGAACTACAACTCCTAAAACTAAAGGTCAATGCCCACCAAACCCTTCCAGTGTTTTCTGTTGGGCATGGGAGTTCTGTGTGCCAAGATGGGTTCAATTCCATCATTGGTGGAGTTCAGAATACTCTTTGACATACCCAGCAACTACAACTCCCAAATAACAAAATTTGGATGTATCGGGTATTTGTGCCAAATTTGGTCCCACAAGGATGATAAAACATCAAATCATCCGGGCGTCCCCTGGGCAACGTCCTTGCAGACGGCCAATTCTCTCACACCAGAAGCAACTTGCAGTTTCTCAGGTCGCTCCTGACATGACAAAAAATAAAAATAAACATTAGGAAGGTTGAGAAACACTTCCTTAAAGGAGTGGAATATGGACATTACTTCAATGATTATGTACATAGATGAGCTTGTGTACTGGGATCCAGGGCAAGGTTGGAATGACGGACTTGGGATCGCCATTCCCACACTTAGAAGACCCTCGTAGCACAACAGAGGGGTCCCAGTGGCGTCACATTATAAGGAAGTGTGGAGAAGACCTTTTGTCCGAAAGGAAAGCGGTTGGTGTCAAGATGACCGGGATCACATCTTCCATGAGTTCGTCACGGTCAATGTTCAAAGAAGGGAGTTTGTGAGACCGATCCACACGGGCTTTTTCGTGTAATTTAACAGATTTGTTTCATGGTTTTATTGCTGTTAGTTATGTATTTTCCCAACATTTCTGTGTTCAATTCTACTTTGATGCTTATATGAGTTTGGTATTAATTCACACATGGCTTTGGTTTTTACTGTTAGCCGTTCTGACTCTCATTAGGTCAAGAAAAAGCCTGCCTGCCTGCCTTCTTTCCTTCCTTCTATCCTCCCTCCTGTCCTTCTTTTTCCCTTCCTTCTGTCCTTCCTTCCTTCTTTCTTTCCTTCCTTCCGTATATCATACCAACCTTCCTTCTGTTCTTCCCTTTCCCCCCCTTCCTTCTGTCCTTCCTTCTTTCTTTTTTCCTTCCTTCTGTTCTTCCTTTTTTCCTCTTCTTCCTTCCTTTCTTTTTTTCCTTCCTTCCTCCTTCCTTCCTTCCTTCTTCTTCCTTCCTTCCTCCTTCCTTCTTTCTTCCTTCCTTCTTCCTTCCCTTCCTCTTCTTTCCTTTCTTCCTTCCTCTTTTTTTCTTTCCTTCCTTCTTCCCTTCCTCCTTCTTTCTTTTTCCTTCCTCCTTCTTTTTCCTTCCTTCCTTCTTCCTTCCTTCCTTCCTTCCTCCTCCTTCTTTCTCCTTCTTTTTCCTTCCTTCCTTCCTTCTGTCCTTCCTTCCATCCTTCTTTCCTTCCTTTTTTTCCTTCCTTCCTCTTTCTTCCTTCCTTCCCTCCTTCCTTCTTTCTTCTTTCCTTCTTCCTTCCTTCTTTCTTTCTTTCCTTCCTTTTCTTCCTTCCTTCTCCTTCCTTCCCTCTTTCCTTCCTTCTCTTCTTTCTTCTTTCTTTCCTCCTTCTTCTTCCTTCCTTTCCTTCCTTCCTTCCTCTTCCTCTTCTTCTTCTTCCTCCTCCTCCTCTTCTTCTTCTTCTTTTTCCTTCCTCCTCCTCCTCCTCCTCCTTATTCTTCCTCTTTCTCTTCTTCTTCTTCCTCTTCCTCTTCTTTTTCTTTTTTCTTTTTCTTCTTTTTCTCCTTCCTCCTCCTTTTCTTCCTCCTCCTCCTCTTCTTCTTCTTTTTCCTTCTTCCTCCTCCTCCTCCTTATTCTTCCTCTTCCTCTTCTTTTTCTTTTTTCTTTTCCTCCCATCCTCCTTACCTTCCTTCCTCTTCCTCCCTCCCTCTTTTTCTTCTTCTTCCTTCCCCTTCTTCCTCTTTCTCCTCCTCCTTTCTTTCAGCTTCTTTCTTCTCTCTCTTCACTCTTGTCTTCTCACCGAATGAAAGCCTTTTCTCCTTGTGAGCTATTTGGAACTGGTTGTTTATATCGGAAGAGCTGTGCTCTATCTACAGATTTATTTCTGAACTTTTCTTCATATCTGTTGAGTTTTCCTCATCCGAAATGCTTGAGACTAGAAGAGGCTTTTCATTTCAGATAGGCAGATAGATGGATAGATAGACAGATGAATAAGTATGGATAGATAGGTAGATATACAGGTAATTCTTAGATATACAAGTAAGTCTTAAATATACAGGTAGTACTGTATATATGTATGTGTGTGTGTATAAACATACATATACAGATACACATACATTCATACACATGTAAGGAGCACAGTGGGAAAGGTTGGCAGTTCAACCCCGGATCGGGGTGAGCACCCGCCGTCAGCCCCAGCTTCTGCTCACCTAGCAAATCGAAAACAGAAATGTGAGTAGATAAATCGGTACCACAGGGAGGTAATATTAAGTGGGGAGGTAATATAATATAGGGGCATGCCAGCGATTCGATCTGGAGGACATCTACAGACGAGCACAGCCTCCAGATGCCGGAGATGGAAAAAGATAGGAAAGCCTATACCTTTTTTTTATGTATTGTTTGCCTTTGTTAATAGTATAACAGCATTGAATGTTTGCCATATATGTATTCGCCCTGAGTCCCCTCGGGGAGATAGAGCAAAATATAAATAAAACATTATTATTATTATTATTATTATTATTATTATTATTATTATTATTATTACAGTGTTCCCTCACTTATCGCGGGTGTTACGTTCCAGGATCACCCGCGAAAAGTGAAAATCTGTGAAGTAGGGACACTATATACAGTAGAGCCCTGGTTGTCCAATACTCTGTATTATCCAAAACGATCTTGACAGATTAGAGAGATGAATGGCCAAAACTAACAAAATGAAGTTCAACAGGGACAAATGCAAGATACTCCACTTAGGCAGGAAAAACGAAATGCAAAGATACAGAATGGGGGACAATGCCTGGCTTGAGAGCAGTACGTGTGAAAAAGATCTTGGAGTCCTCGTGGACAACAAGTTAAACAATGTGATGTGGTGGCAAAAAAAGCCAATGGGATTTTGGCCTGCATCAAGAGGAGCCTAGTGTCTAGATCTAGGGAAGTCATGCTCCCCATGCTCTATTCCGCTTTGGTTAGACCACACCTGGAATATTGTGTCCAATTCTGGGCACCACAATTCAAGAGAGATATTGACAAGCTGGAATGTGTCCAGAGGAGGGGTGACTAAAATGATCAAGGGTCTGGAGAACAAGCCCTATGAGGAGCGGCTTGAGCTGGGCATGTTTAGCCTGAAGAAGAGAAGGCTGAGAGGAGATGATAGCCATGTATAAATATGTGAGAGGAAGCCACAGGGAGGAGGGAGCAAGCTTGTTTTCTGCTTCCTGGAGACTAGGACACGGAACAATGGCTTCAAACTACAAGAGAGGAGATTCCATCTGAACATGAGGAAGAACTTCCTGACTGTGAGAGCTGTTCAGCAGTGGAACTCTCTGCCCAGGAGTGTGGTGGAGGCTCCTTCTTTGGAAGCTTTTAAACAGAGGCTGGATGGCCATCTGTCAGGGGTGATGTGAATGCAATATTCCTGCTTCTTGGCAGAATGGGGTTGGACTGGATGGCCCATGAGGTCTCTTCCAACTCTTTGATTCTAGGATTCTATGATCCGCCTTTGCTACCCTCCCTCGCTCACTCTCTTGCCCTTTCCTCCATTGCTTGCTCACTCACTGGGCTGAGTCCTGGTTCTGCCACTGCAATCCGTCCCGTTGAGTGAGCGAGCGAGAGTAGGCGGCAGCGGTGTCAGAAGCAGGATCCTGTAAGAGGCAGCCAGGCTCCTGCATCTGCAACTGCTGCCACCTTTGCCACCCTTTTTCTTGTGTCCGCTTCCACTTTTTGTATGGTTCCTATTTGGATGGCCATATATATACCGTGTATATATATAGAGAGGCGGGGAGGGGGAGAGAAGCAGCATTATATATGTGTGTGTGTTTACATACACATATATACTGTTGTAGTAGAGTTTGTTGGCAATGCTGCAACTGGTAGTAGGAGTAGATCAATAGGTACTGCTCCGGCGGGAAGGTAAGGGCGCTCCATGCAGTCATGCCGGCCACATGACCTTGGAGGTGTCTACGGACAACGCTGGCTCTTCGGCTTAGAAATGGAGATGAGCACCACACCCCAGAGTCAGACATGACTGGACTTAATGTCAGGGGACTACCTTTACCTATATATAATATGTATTTATATAAATATAAATTTATATTTGTATAAATATTTAATATAAAATATAAAAAATAAATATAAAATGTATATTTATTTATATAAATATAATGTATTAATATTATTCACACATATTGTGTGTGTTGTCTGTGTGTGTATATCTATATATATATAGGATTGAATATACAAAGGAAAGAAAGAAAACACTACACTACATTCTATGATTACATATAGAAGTATAGTATATAAAAAAAACTAAATACAACAGTGGAAAACGACAACAACAACAACAACACAAAGTGCCCCAAACCCAACAACAACACAAAGTGCCTCAAACCCAACAACAACAACACAAAGTGTACCAAACCCACCAACAACACAAAGTGCCCGAAACCCAACAACAACACAAAGTGCTCCAAACTCAATAACAACAACACAAAGTGCCCCAAACCCAACAACAACACAAAGTGCCCCAAACCCAACAACAACACAAAGTGCCCCAAACCCAACAACAACACAAAGTGCCCCAAACCCAACAACAACAACACAAAGAAAACACTACACTACATTCTATAATTATATATAGAAGTACAGTATATAAAAAAACTAAATACAACAGTGGAAAACAACAACAACAACAACAACACAAAGTGCCCCAAACCCAACAACAACACAAAGTGCCCCAAACCCAACAACAACACAAAGTGCCCCAAACCCAACAACAACACAAAGTGCCCCAAACCCAACAACAACAACACAAAGAAAACACTACACTACATTCTATAATTATATATAGAAGTACAGTATATAAAAATACTAAATACAACAGTGGAAAACAACAACAACAACAACAACAACACCACAAAGTGCCCCAAACCCAACAACAACAATACAAAGTGCCCCAAACCCAACAACAACACAAAGTGCCCTAAACCCAACAACAACAACAACACAAAGTGCCCCAAACCCAACAACAACAACACAGTTCCCCAAACCCAACAACAACAACACAAAGTGTCCCAAACCCAACAACAACAATACAAAGTGCCCCAAACCCAACAACAACACAAAGTGCCCTAAACCCAACAACAACAACAACACAAAGTGCCCCAAACCCAACAACAACAACACAGTTCCCCAAACCCAACAACAACAACACAAAGTGTCCCAAACCCAACAACAACAATACAAAGTGCCCCAAACCCAACAACATCAACACAAAGTGCCCCAAACCCAACAACAACAACAACACAAAGTGCCCCAAACCCAACAACAACACAAAGTGCCACAAACCCAACAAGAACACAAAGTGCCACAAACCCAACAACAACAACACAAAGTGCCCCAAACCCAACAACAACAACACAAAGTGCCCCAAACCCAACAACAACAACACAAAGTGCCCCAAACCCAACAACAACAACACAAAGTGCCCCAAACCCAACAACAACAACACAAAGTGCCCCAAACCCAACAACAACAACACAAAGTGCCCCAAACCCAACAACAACAACACAAAGTGCCCCAAACCCAACAACAACACAAAGTGCCCCAAACCCAACAACACAAAGTGCCCCAAACCCAACAACACAAAGTGCCCCAAACTCAACAACAACAACACAAAGTACCCCAAACCCAACAACAACACAAAGTGCCCCAAACCCAACAACAACAACACAAAGTGCCCCAAACCCAACAACAACAACACAAAGTGCCCCAAACCCAACAACAACAACACAAAGTGCCTCAAACCCAACAACAACAACACAAAGTGCCCCAAACCCAACAACAACAACACAAAGTGCCAGAAACCCAACAACAAGATGTCCCACAAAAAGAGAGAATTTTAAAGTTGACTCCTTGTGCAATATTATTATTAATAATATTATTAAATAATAATATAATAATTAATATACAGAATATGAATAATAATGAAGCACAGCTTCTCCCTCCATTCAATGAACACTGCAGAGAAAGAGGAGCAACCAAGTCCTCCCAAAGGCCATAGAGTCCCAGCCTGGTTCCTAGGGCGGCAGGAAGTGCTGTGCCTGCAACAGAAGGAAGCGGGAAGTCAGTACCATTTCCGCTTCCGGTGTTGGGAGGAAGCGGAAGTGGGTGAAAATAGGGGGGTGAATGGAGGAGGCTGGAGAAAGAGGTAAAGGTGGGAGAAACCTCTTTGGGGGAGGATATTATGCTATGTTATATATTATATTATGTATTATATTGTGTTATATATTATATATTATGTTATATATTGTATTATGACTAGCCATCCCCTGCCATGCATTGCTGTGGCCCAGTCTGTGTATATGTGCTTTTTTTGTGTATATATTTCTGTATATGTGTATATATATGTGGTATTTTTGGGCTTTTAAAGTCTTTTATGTTGTGTTTTTCAGGGTGTTTATGAGTGATGGTCACTCCTTGGCCTGATAGGAGTCTTGTGTCCAAATTTGGTGTCCATTTGTCCAGTGGTTTTTGAGTTATGTTCATCCCACAAACTAACATTACATTTTTATTTATATAGATACTAGCCATCCCCTGACACACCTTGCTGTGGCCCACTCTAGTGGTCATGGGGGGTTCTATGTGGGAGGTTTGGCCCATTTCTATCGTTGGTGGGGTTCAGAATGCTCTGTGATTGTAGGTGAACTATAAATCCCAGCAAGTACTACTCCCAAAATGTCAAGATTCTATTTCCCCCAAACTCCACCAGTGTTCACATTTGGGCATATTGAGTATTCGTGTAGAGTTTGGTCCAGATCCATCATTTTTTGAGTCCACAGTGATCTTTGGATGTAGGTGAACTACAACTCCAAAACTAAAGGACACTGCCCACCAAACCCTTCCAGTATTTTCTGTTGGTCATGGGAGAACAAGTTTGGTTCAATTCCATCATTGGCGGGGTTCAGAATGTTCTTTGATTGTAGGTGAACTATAAATCCCAGCAACTACAACTTCCAAATGACAAAATCTTTTTTTTTTTAGTGAAGGACATACATTGGGTTGTTAGGTGTCTTGTGTCCAAATTTGGTGTCAATTTTTTCAGTGGTTTTTGAGTTCTGTTAATCCCACAAACGAACATTGCATTTTTATTTATATAACTAGCTGTACCCTCTTTCTCTCCTTCTTTCCTTCCTTCCCTCCTTCCTTCCTTCTCTAACGTTTCCCCTCTTTTTCTTTTCCTTTCTCTCCTTTCTTTCTTCTCTACCTCTTGCTTTCCTTCCTTCCTTCGCTTTTTGTTTCCATCTTTCCTTCGCTCCCTCTTTCTCTCCTGCTTTACCTCTTTCCTTCACTCCCTCTTTCCTTCCTTTCCTTTTTTCTTTCTTTCTCTCCTTCCTTCCTTCTCTACTGCTTTCTTTCCTTCTCTACCTCTTTTCTTCCTTTCTTCTCCCTTTCCTTCCCTCCCTCTTCCTTCCCTTTTTTCTGTATCATCATTTAGCTTTTATGTGTAGAAGGGCCCCCAGAGTTAGACTAATATATTGTAAGATGACAAGAAAAGAGGATGAATGGGTCTCCCCAATTTGAAAATGTATTATGCTTGTTGTTTAATATGGTTAAACTTTTGTTGTTTATTAGAATCATAGAATCCTAGAGTTGCAAGAGACCTCATGGGCCATCCAGTCCAAACTCCTGCCAAGAAGCAGGAATATTGCATTCAAAGCACCCCCGACAGATGGCCATCCAGCCCCTGTTTAAAAGCTTCCAAAAAAGGGGCCTCCACTACACCGGGGCAGAGAGTTCCACTGCTGAACGGCTCTCACAGTCAGGAATGAACATTACATTTTTATTTATATAAATCATATAATATTGATCTAAAATGATGGCCTAGGAAAGCAGATGCTATTGAGTCTCTCAACCTTAAGCTCAGCTCAACATCTGCATTTCCTTCCCTTCTTCCTTCCTTCTTTCCTTTCTTCCTTCTTCTTTTCCTTCCTTCTCCTCCTCCTTTCCTTCCTTCCTTGCTCCTTTGATATTTCCCCCCCTATTTCTTCATATCTCTTTCCCTCCTCCTTCCTTCTTTCCTCTTTCTTTCCTCTCCTTCTTTCCTTCCTTCCCTTTTCTTTATCTTCCTTTCTCTTCCTCCTTTCCTTCTCTCTCTCCTTCTTTCCCTCTCCTTCCTCTTCCCCTCCTCTTCCCTTCTCTTCTCCTTCTCCCCCTTCCTTTCCTTCCCTCTCTTTCCTTCTCCTCTTCTTTCTCTATCTCTTTCCTTCCTTCCCCCTTTTTCTTTCTCTTCTTCTGTCTCTCTTTTCTTTTCTCTCTTTCCTTCTTTCCTCAGCCCACTTAGCAGCTAAGCCATCTGCTTGATTCTTCCTTACTGCTCTGCCTTCGAAAAGTGTTGGTTTATAATGCATGCGAACACTGCAAAAGAAATGGGAAATTATTGTTTCCATTTGATGTTTGATGTTTTGTCTTATGTCTGTTATAACAGGTTGTGCCCTTTAATTTTAGTTAGTTAAGTTATAATTCGTATTTATATGTTGGGTTGTATACATTTTGTTAGTATGGGTGGATTGTTGTTGTATTCGGGCATTGAATGTTTGCCTTTTATGTTTGGAGTCTGCCCTGAGTCCCTCTGGGAAGAAAAGCTGGAGTATAAATAAAGTTTTGTTATAATTATTTTAAATTGGGTCATCGAAGGTCTGTGGGCCAAGTTTGGTCCAGATCCATCCAGCCACAGAGGATGAAGAAGAGCCCTAATGGGACAAACCAACTCACCAGCTTACAAACATACTTTGACGTTTCCATATCTAGCTCATTAAGGTGTCTTCTTTTCTACTTTCCAGCGACTGGTGAACTCTGAGGCAGTGGTGGCCATGTATTTCACTCGGGGGGAATGGGATTTCCTGGATCCGGGCCAGAGGGTCCTCTACAAGGAGGTCCTGTTGGAGAATTATGGGAATGTCGCCTCTTTGGGTAAGAGCCCCCTTTGCCCTCCATGGATGCCCTTTGGGACTCATGGCTGCAGCCTCAAGGAAGGAGACGGGAGTAAGTGACCCATATCTCTCTGCAGCAATATGTCAAAGTGAGGGAACATATTTTGTAAACCTTTCTTCATAAAGACAGGATAACTCTTTGAACCTCACACTCAACTATCTAATAGTTTCCCCATATTATTATTATTATTATTATTATTATTATTATTATTATTTCATATAAAAAGCATTGCATAAATTAGTATAAAACCAATAGAAATAGAAGGAGCGCAGGGCCCCTCCGGAAGATCTTAATAAACTTGATGGTTCAGAGGGGAGAATCCGTTCGGACAGGGAAACTGGGCCGGAGCCGTTGTGGGATCTTGCAGGGCTCAATATTGTCCCCCATGCTGCTTAACATCTACATGAAGCTGCTGGGAGAGATCATCTGGAGTTTTGGAGTTGGATGTCCAACTCTATCAATCCTTTCCACCTCCTGCTAAGTAGGCTGTCCAGGTCCTGAACCGGTGCTTGGCAGCTATGACACTGTGGATGAGGTCAAACAAATTGGAATTGGATCCAGACAAGTCGGAGGTCCTCCTGGTTAGTTGCAAGACCAAACAGGGCATAGGGTTACAGCCTGTGCTGGATGGGGTTACATTCCCTTTGAAGACTCAGGTTTGCAACTTGGGAGTCATTATGGATTCATTCATCGCTGAGCCTGGAACCCCAGGTTTCAGCGGTGGCCAGTTGCGCCTGTACCTTAGGAAGCTAGACTTGGCCACGGTGGTCCATGCTCTGGTTACATCCCGAATAGAATACTGCAATGCATTTTATGTGGGGTTGCCTTTGAAGCCTGTTCAGAAGCTTCAATTGGTTCAACTGGCAGCGACGGGCTTGCTCACCGGAGCGGCGTACTGAGAGCATACCACCTCCCTGTTGCATCAGCTCCACTGGCTGCCAGTCTGCTACCGAGCACAGTTCAAAGTTCAAAGCCCTAAACAGTTCTGACCCAGCTTACCTGTCCGAACATCTTTCCCTCTACAAACCATCTCAGAGGTTAAGATCACCCAGGGAGGCCCTGCTCTTGGTCCTGCCTACTCCGCAGGTGAGGCTGGTGGGAATGAGAGATAGGCCCTTCTCAGTGGTGGCCCCTTGGTGGTGGAATTCCCTCCCCAGTGCCATTAGATCAGTCCCCTGCCTCCTGACCTTCAGAAAGAGTGGGAAAAGCTGACTTTGGGATCAAGTTTTCAGAAAATAGTGCAGTGCAATAACAGTTATTTTATTTACTTATTATTGGACTTATATGCCACCACTCCCCTGGGGCTCGGAGCGGCTTACAAGAATGGCTAAAATCTAACAAAATTTAAAAGCAATTTAAAACAATTTAAAAACAGCAATATCAAACATTAAAAGCCTGTCAAAACAGGTATGTCTTACATGCCCTGCAGAAAGCTGATAAGTCCCGCAAGGCACGGACTTCAGGTGGCAGAGTATTCCAGAGTGATGGTGCCACTGCTGTGAAGGCTCTGCGTCTGGTTGCTGTTAGACGCAAGGTCTTGACACTGGGGACTTCCAATAGATCTTGGTCCTCAGAACGGAGGGATCTCTGGGGTTGGGAGGGGTGAGGCGGTCCCTCAGGTACATCGGCCCCAGACCATGCAAGGCCTTAAAGGTGAGTACCATCACTTTGAAAGTGATCCGGTGCTCAATTGGTAACCAATGCAGCTGTAGTAAGATTGGTGTTATGTGGCATCTCATCGGAATTCCCGCAAGAAGCTGAGCAGAAGTTGTACCAACTTGAGCTTCCAGATCACTGACAGAGGAAGGCCAATGTAGAGGGCGTTACAGTAGTCCAGTCTTGAGATGTAGTCCAGAGATGACTGTAGCCTGGATTACCGTAGCTAGTCGTCCCTGGACAGGGAGGGGTCAGCCGTCTAGACTACCGCAGGTGAAAGAAGGCAGTCCTGCTAATGGCGGAGACCTGGGCCTCCATCGTCAGCAGAAGGTCCAAAAGGACTCCAGACTCTTTACCAATGATGGCAGGCGTAGTGCCTCGCCATCCAGGGTAGGTAGCTGGATGTCCCCACTGCCGGTCGACCCAGCCATAGGATCTCCATCTTTGCTGGATTCACCCTCAACCTGCCGTCTAGCCTGCCGCAGATGAAAAAAGGCGGTTATGGAATATGTGCAATGACTATGGAACTGCCATGGACTACGATTATGAATGGCGTGGTTTTAATATTGAATGCAATGTTTAAAAATGTTTAACAGTTTTTAATTTTAATTTAATTTTAATGTTTATTGGAATAGTATGTTTTCTAAGGCATTGAATAATTGCCTACATGTAGGTCACCTTGAGTCCCCTTTGGGGTAGAGAAAGGTGGAGTATAAATAGGGTGAATAAATAAATAAGAATTAAACAGGGAAAATTTCCAAACATTGTTTATACAGATTGAATTGTGTATTGTGTGTGTGTGTGTATAAGCATACATACATATATTTATTTATTTGTCGTGTCAGGACAACCAGTCAAATTATATTACATTTCTAACAGAACAAAGCAAACAAACAGACAAAATACAAAATTTGTGAGTTTGGTAGTTGATTAAATGTCCTTTGACCAGTATCTGGCCACTTGGAGTGCTTCTGGTGTTGCTGCAAGAAGGTCCTCCCTTGTGCATGTGGCAGGGCTCAGGGTGCATTGCAGCAGGTGGTCAGTGGTTTGCTCTTCTCCGCACTCGCATGTTGTGGATTCCACTTTGTGGCTCCATTTCTTGAGGTTGGCTCTGCATCTCGTGGTGCCAGAGCGCAGTCTGTTCAGCGCCTTCCAAGTTGCCCAGTTTTCTGTGACATACATATACATATGCCCCAAAAACTTACAACAACCCTACACACACATCATCATATCGGAATATATAGAAATTCAGAATATATATATATGTGTGTGTGTGTGTGTGTGTGTGTGTATATATATATATATATATTTCTATATATTTTGATATGATATGTGTGTGTAGGGTTGTTGTAAGTCTTGGGGGCGTTTTTGGCTCTGTTCCTAGAGGCATTCTCTCCTGATGTTTGCCTGCATCTATGGCAGGCATCCTTAGAGATTATGAGGTCCGCAAAACATCAGGAGACTATGCTTCTGGAACATGGCCAAAATGCCCCAAAAACTTACAACAACCCTACACACACATCATCATATCAGAATATATAGAAATTCAGAATATATATATATGTGTGAGTGTGTGTGTGTGTATGTATATGTGTATATACATACATGTGTGTGTGTGTATATATATTCTGAATTTCTATATATTTTGGTATGATGTGTGTGTGTGTGTAGGGTTGTTGTAAGTTTTTGGGGCGTTTTGGCCATGTTCCAGAAGCATAGTCTCCTGATGTTTCGCCTGCATCTATGGCAGGCATCCATAGAGGTTGTGAGGGTCCTCACAAACATCAGGAGACTATGCTTCTGGAACATGGCCAAAATGCCCCAAAAACTTAGAGCAACCCAGTAATTCCGGACTTAAAAACCTTCGGCTACACACACACACACACACAAACCTCCAGTTTGCCCGTAAAATTGAATTTCCATCTCGCAAAAGGATGCATGCCTAAAAAGCATGTCACCAACATGAAAAGTTTGGAAAACTCTGTCCTCATGCGTCTTCCTCTGCTTCTCCTTCTTTTCCCCAGCAGGCAACATGCCCCCAAGTGAGGCCTACCGGGAGCCCCCCATGGCATCCTGGGAAGCGGCCAAACCGATTGTGGAGAAGCAGCAGGAGTTTGAGGGCCAAAGCGGGGTGTCCAAGCCGAAGGGGAACCAGTCCAAGAACGGGAAGAAGAAGCCTCCTACCCCGCTGGGTCCCGAGATAGGGGAGCCTTTGGCCCCGGAGCCCAGCCAGGCAAAGTGCCCTGCCTGCGGGAAGGCCTTCAAGTACGAGTCGCACCTGAACATCCACTTCCGTGTCCACACGGGGGAGAAGCCCTACGCCTGCGCAGAGTGCGGGAAGTGCTTCAGCCAGCACGGGCACCTCCACTCCCACCAGAGGACCCACTCCGGGGAGAAGACCTACAAGTGCATGGACTGCGGGAAGAGCTTCAGCGACAGTGGGGCCTGCACCAAGCACCAGAGCACCCACAGCAAGGAGAAGCCCTACCAGTGCCTGGAGTGCGGGAAGAGCTTCAGCCAGCACGGGCACCTCCACTCCCACCAGAGGATCCACACCCGGGAGAGGCCCTACAAGTGCACCGAGTGCGGGAAGGGCTTCAGCCAGCGGGGCCACCTCTACTCCCACCAGAGGATCCACACTAAGGAGAAACCTTACAAGTGCACCGAGTGCGGGAAGAGCTTCAGCCAGCGGGGCCACCTCTACTCCCACCAGAGGATCCACACCAAGGAGAAGCCCTACAAGTGCCTGGAGTGCGGGAAGTGCTTCAGCCAGAGCGGGCACCTCCACTCGCACGAGCGGACCCACACGGGAGTGAAGCCCTACAAGTGCATGGAGTGCGGGAAGTGCTTCAGCCAGCGGGGGCACGTCTATGCGCACCAGAGGACCCACACAGGGGAGAAGCCCTACAAGTGCGTGGAGTGTGGGAAGAGCTTCGGCCAGCGAGGGCACCTCCATTCGCACCAGAGGACCCACACGGGGGAGAAAGCCTGCAAGCGAGCCGAGTGCGGGCAGTGTCTCGGAGGCGGCGTCGGCGTCGGCGCGTGTGCCAAGCACCAGCGGACTCCTACGTGGGAGAAACCCTACAAACACATGGAAAGCGCTCCTTCGGTTATGGCGGAATACTGATAAATCACACACCGTGATGCATTCAAACAGAACTTTCCGAACTACGTGTCGCGACATGTCGCGCGGACGAGAAACAACAATGTATGTTACCATCTTACAAATCATATATTTTTCAAAATCTTAATGAAACGTTTTCATGAGATACGTTGTGTCTCAAACAGTTTACCTACAGTCCGTATCTCTTCTAAGAGATTGATTTAACCTCCAGTTTGGTCGGTCAGACCGAATGACTGTGTCGCGGAATGGCGCCTGTCTAAAAACGTCGAATTTTTGGATTCTGGATAAAACTGTCGTCCGGAAGGTCGTAACGCTGTAATATAATCAAACTGTAGAAAAGAAGTTTGGTCTGATGACAATTTGTGTTTCACTTCATGAGGAATATTAAGGAGTGTTGGTGGAACTTTGACTCGACTCCCGATCCATATTTCCTGAATTTTCTTATGCTAAGCTGTTCGTATGGACTTTTCTATTTACGTGGTCCGTTTTATGTACAAGTTTGTCATGTTTGTCACGGATTCTGCAGAATTGCATTTAAAAAAAGAAATGTCATTTTAAAAAAAATATGTATTTTAACTTTCCTGAATATTACCTACTAAAGCATTTGCGTCCCTATACTAATCCCGTGCCACAGAACCTAATGGCTTCTACAGCGGATAGAGAACATATTCCAAACATCTGTAAGAGGGTTGTGTAACTATAGTTGATGTTGAGTTTGAAGCAGAAAAATTACAATAAATGTGTTTTGAAGTATAACTTTTGAGGCTTGGCCTCCAGGAATGTTGTATGTAAATATTGTCTTGAGTTGTTTCACCTGGTGTTCAACTTTTTCTGTTTGCAGCAGATTTAAAGGAAATATACTGGAGTGTTTGCTTTTCTGCAATAGTTACTAAGCCCATCTTGAATCCTGCTTCCATCTCCTGAAATATTTGGTCTTCTTTTTCAATTTGTTGTCCTATATCAGGGGTTCCCAAACTTTTTAAGATGAGGGTCGATTCACAGTCTCTGAGAATGTTGAAGGGCAGGAATATAGCTTGGAAAGGATTGTTGTTGTTGGGTTGTTGTAGGTTTTTCCGGGCTATATGGCCATGTTCTGGAGGCAATTTTTCTCCTGACGTTTCGCCTGCATCTATGGCAAGCATCCTCAGAGGTAGTGAGGTCTGTTGGAAGAGAAAATGGGTTTATATATCTGTGGAATGACCAGGGTGAGACAAAGGACTTTTGTCTGCTGGGGCTAACTGTGAATGTTTCAGCTGATCACCTTGATTTGCATTCAATGGCTTGGAAGCGCCTGGGGGGAATCTTTTGTTGAGAGTGATTTTATGTGCCTGTTTGTTTCCCCTCTGTTGTTTTGCTGTTGTAATTTTTGAGTTTTTAATACTGGTAGCCAGATTTTGTTCATTTTCATGGTTTCTTCTTTTCTGTTGAAATTGTCCACATGCTTGTCCAGCAGACAAAAGTCCTTTGTCTCACCCTGGTCATTCCACAGATATATAAACCCATTTTTCCTACTTCCAACAGACCTCACTACCTCTGAGGATGCTTGCCATAGATGCAGGCGAAACGTCAGGAGAAAAATTGTCTCCAGAACATGGCCATATAGCCCGGAAAAACCTACAACAACCCAGTGATTCCGGCCATGAAAGCCTTCGACAATACATTGTTGTTGTTATTGCACGCCCTCATCACACAGGGTGAAATCAGCGTCCTAGGGTGCTTTCACCCCACCTGGAAGACGGAGACCCATGCCAGACATCTCACAACGTTGTGTGACTTCCCACCGCCAACCACGGTGAAAATGACCTGCTCCTTTCCTCACGGAAGCGAGGCAAAGTCCAGGTCATTAGACACTATCACAGAGAGGTTTTTTGGACAAGATTTATTCAAAAGGGATTTGTAAGTAAGTAAAGTTTATTACTTACTTTGTAAGTAAGTAAAGTTTATTGGGAGCCCCCGGGGGCGCAGTGGGTTAAAGCACTGAGCTGCTGAGCTTGTTGATCGAAAAGTCGCAGGCTCGATTCCGGGGAGCGGCGTGAGCTTCCGCTGTCAGCCCTAGCTTCTGCCAACCTAGCAGTTCGAAAACATGCAAATGTGAGTAGATCAATAGGTACCGCTCCGGCGGGAAGGTAACGGCGCTCCATGCAGTCATGCCGGCCACATGACCTTGGAGGTGTCTGCGGACAACGCTGGCTCTTCGGCTTAGAAATGGAGATGAGCACCACACCCCAGAGTCAGACATGACTGGACTTAATGTCAGGGGACTACCTTTACCTACCTTTACTAAAGTTTATTACTTACTTACCAGTCCCGTACATTCACATCAAACCCAAGGGGTTGTACAAACTTCAACAAATTTTAAAATCTAATCTAAAAACCAATACAAATAGTTATTAAAACCCTAACTCGACCCATAAGATCATCCGACGCAGTCTAAAGAGAGGTAGTGGGGATGGCATTGGGTGGGTGGGTGGGGGGATATCCAACCTTATAAATATCAGGACTGGGATTAGGGTTCTTGTTGGAGCATGGCTCGTCACCACACTGTCCATGTTCAGTATGGCTCCATGGTCAACAACCAGAGAGGACTGGGGTTATTTATTATTATTATTATTATTATTATTATTATTTATTTATTTGGAGTGCTTCTACCCCGCCCTTCTCAACCCCCTAGGGGGGACTCAGGGCGGCTTACAAAAAAGGCACAATTCGATGCCCAACAATTCACAAAGTACAATATACAATTTACAATTTAACATCAACAATTGTCACTAGTTAAAACAATCACATCAACACAATAGCAATAATAAAATCATCCTGTGGTCAATGTTTGCCGATTTATAATTCCATAATCCACTTATCAGGCGCACAAGACACTGCAAAAGGTTAGGGTTGTTGTTGGAGCATGCTTATAACCACAATGTTAAAACTTGTGCACCAGCTGCGTCTGTACCTTGGGATCTCTGACTTGGCCACGATGGTCCACATTCTGGTTACATCCCGTTTAGACTACTGCAATGCTCTCTACGTGGGGTTGCCTCTGAAGACTGCCCGGAAGCTGCAGCTAGTCCAACGCTCGGCAGCCAGGCTACTGATGGGAGCTGGGTACAGGGAGTGCACAACTCCCTTGCTGCACCAGCTACACTGGCTGCCAATTAGCTTCCAAGGCCAATTCAAAGTGCTGGTTTTAACCTGTAAATCCCTATACAGTTCCGGGCCAGTTTACCTGTCCAAACGTATTCTCCCCTATGAACCATCAAGGACGTTAAGATCATATTAATCATCATCATCATTTAATTACTTATTAATCGCCCTCCATCCGAGAATGCTCTAGGCGATTTAAAGCTAAATTGTAAAAGATAAAATACATACATACAGAATTTAAAAATTAACAGAGATCGAATGCTCTAGTAAAAAGCCAGGTCTTAAGTGCTAGAGTAAAAGGCCCTAAGTCACGCATGGCTCTCAAGTAGGGCGGCAAGGAATTCCATAAAGCAGGGGCAGAAATAGAAAAAGCCCTGCGTCTGGTCCTTTCCAAGTGCACTTCTCTAGGACCCGGTATATAGAGTAAGTCACGTTGGGCTGGTCGTTGCGACCTCCGATGATGGGAGAAGGAGAGACGGTCCCTAAGGTACGATGGACCCTGGCCGTAAATAATTTTAAAGGTCAGAACTAGCATCTTATACAGACCATGGTAATCAGTTGGAAGCCAATATACGTAAATGTTGCAGCACTGGTGTTATATGGCATTTCATGGGCGTTCTTGTGAGTAGCCTGGCTGCCGCATTCTGAACAATACGGAGCTTTTGGGTCGTAGACATCGGAAGGCCAACATACAGGGCGTTGCAATAGTCCAGCCTAGACGTGACCGTGGCATAGATGACAGTTGCCAGAGCCTCGTCAGATAGGTAGGGTGCCAGTTGCCTTGTTCGTTGTAGATGGAAAAAGGCCTGTTTGCTGGCAGCAGTGACCTGAGCTTCCATTGTCGGCTGCGAATCCAAAACGACACCCAAGCTCTTGTCAGTAGACGAAGGAGATAGGGCAGCACCATCGAAGGTGGGTAGCAAATGGGTCAGACCAATCGAGCGGCCATGCCAGAGAATCTCAGTCTTTGCTGGGTTCACCTTCAGTCTACTAGCACGTAGCCAGTTCGACAGAGCCTCCAGACATAAGGTGAAGTTGTCTGGTATTGACGTTGCTCCAGGCTCCAAGCGCAGAAGGAGTTGGGTGTCGTCCACATATTGGTAGCAGTTCAGGCTGAAACTCCGGACCAAACTAGCAAGGGGTCTAATGTAGATGTTGAAGAGAAGAGGGGAGAGAATTGCACCTTGGGGGGGGATCTATCAGAGACTTGAGCCATGTACTCCATGCGCTGACACCGGTTTTGGATAAATTATCTTCTGGAGAGGTCCTGCTCTCTGTCCCACCACCTTTGCAAACGCGTTTGGTGGGGACGAGAGACAGAGCCTTCTCTGTGGTGGCCCCTCGGCGAGATTAGATCTGCCCCCTCCCTCTCGTCCTTCAGGAGGCTAGTGAAATCCTGGTTATGGAAAGAAGCGTTCCCAGAATAATGGCTGAGACTGATTACAGACCAAAGTGAGTGACCACATAGGCGGACTGAGTTGAACATGATTTTACCTTGGCGATTTGGTATATATGTATTTTATCTATGTGTATTTTAATGTTATATTGTTGTGTGATGTTTTAACTTGTATTAGTAGCATTGAATCCTTGCTGTAAGCCGGTCTGAGTCCCTCTACGGAGGTGAGAAGATCGGGATATAAAAGTTTTAAATAAATAATAATAATAATAAATGTCCATGTTCAGTATGGCATAATATAAATGGGTTCCTGAATGAAGTGCGTACAACAAAAATACCACTTATATAAGATAAACAATAATATAATTCAACAACAGTATATAAACATGCTGCACTGTTCAACCTCACAGCGACAACAAACAATATCGTGCAAATTTTTAGTAAAGTCGTATCTTCTTATGAGT